TATTCTAACTAAAATAATTTAATTATATAGGATGTCTTTCATTATAAACGCAATAAGTTTGATGATATTTAATTAATAATATACTAATAACTTAAATTTTTGATTTTATTGAGTAACTCATCTTATTAAGTGACAAATTATTTTTTCTTAATGAGTTTTAAACCATGAACTTCAAGAGTAAAATACAAGTGTAAGCATTACACTGCCGTATTATTCGTTAATTATTGATTCAATATTTAATTATAAGAAAAAATCAACTCAATAACATACATTTCTTTGAAGGGTAACCTAATAATACGTTAAATAATGAGAAGCATATATAATAATAATAACAACAATACTAATAATAATTACTACTCAATTTACAGTTAACTAAATCTGCTTAATTTTTCATTTAATACCTAGTTAATTGTATATTTCTAATTGTTATATTAGTCCTCTTGTAAACATAACTAAAATATTAATTTTTACATTTTATTACTACTGTGCCTATAATTTATTGAATTGAAGGTAAAAATTTTCAACATACGAGTGGTATTTCCCAAACAAAATAAATTACATTCTTACTAAGACTAATATAAAAACTAAAAATTGAAGTAAACATAACTTAGAATAAGGACGGAGAAGTCATGAACGAGAAATGATATGAGTATATAAAAGTTCGTTCCATGTATCGGGTAATCCCGGTAGACACCAATGAATGCAATCTGCATAAATTGCTGGATTAGCTTGCTGCTGTGGAGTGAGCAAGATGCCTTGCCTGGTTGTGTAAATGGAGGTATGAGCGTCTTTTCGATATTCAGATAGAGTGGTGATATTGAGAAGATGGACTGGTAATTTCATTGATCGGATAACATTATCCGCAATCTTCAGAAGCCGGCGGTCTGTTCCTATGTTTAGTTGAGAAGATTTGTTCATAGATATTACTGGAGTTGTCTCCTTAGCACACTTGATTCCCTCTGGGTTTTGCCAATCCATGCTCCTGTTTCATCATGCAGATGAAATAAGCTACAAATACCTTAAATGTGTATATTAATTTAAAGAAGATGAAGAAAAAAAGAATTTACCTGATATGAAGAGGAGATATGGTGATGAAGTA